TCACCCCCCCTGCCCTCTTGCTGTACACAAGAGAGCACAATGCGAATCCAGACTGTAAGGAGTATCTTCGCAATTTAAGTGAGAGATAAAACCTACTCACCTGCCAAAGACGGAGTCTGTTCTCGTTGAGAGAGTACGAGGCCATTTGGCGGCCATCAGAGCTGAACTTCACCGCAGTGACTGACCCGTCGTGAGCCTGTGTATACTAAGAAGGAGGAAAAAAAGGGGAGAAGAGTGATTGTAGCTGCAGGGAGGAATAATGGGCAATTAACAGGCTTTGGAAAGTCACGTACAAAGTATCGGCCAGTTTTGAAGTCGAAGAAGGTGAGGGATCCATTGGCGCCACCAACACAGATCTTTTGAGCCCTCGTGTGGCTGTCCACGTTGCGGAATCTACAGAGACGACAGCATGCACGCGGAAGGCGGTTGTCAGAAGCAGTCACATTTTAGAAAATAAAACAAAAAAGGCAGGAGTTTCAGACAAGAAACCGCCTGAAACGCAACAAAAAGGCCTACCTAAGCATACCTAAGCATGTGCGGGCTTTTGAAACTGAGCCACACCTTTTTTTCTTTTGGAAACCGATTTTTTCCCCACCCGCCTTTGTTTATCCGAACTACAACAACGAGGTCATTGGCGCGCGACGCTAGCGCCGATTTGAAGGAAGTTTTATCTTGCCCAAGTTTTGGGACTCATTCCAGAATGGGTCGTGATGGTGTTGGCAATTTCAGTGTTCGGCGACGTTGGTGTGCCAAATTTATTCACAATGAATGGAGGACGTTTTTCTTGCTGAAAGTTTTGGAACTAATAAGACGAGAGATGGGATGTAACAACACAAGCCCCTGTAGGTTGCGATGATTCCTCGGATATGATAAGTCCGGGTGGCTGTAAAGGCTTCCTACTGCAGCATATGAACGCAATTATTTATTGCCAGTTCACAGGCAAGGTTAAAATTGGGTTCAATTGGTAAAGCACCTCTTGGGCGCCTTCCAAAATCTCGAAGACAGGAAAAAACCTAGAACAAGAACTCTATCCTTTGCAGTCCGTATAGGTTTTGTTTTAGTTTTGTGCCTGGTCAATAGTGGGCGAGCCTCCTCTGTCCCTCTCCCCCCACCGTCTCCCTGATTGCCGTCTAATTAGCCGCTTGTTACTACTCCAAATTCCCTCCCCTATTACCTGGACTAATTTGCCTGTAGCGTTGAACGTAATTTACCATTAATTTTACCTTTTACACTTTAACCCCCTCCCATGTGAACTTGACGGTCTGATGAGAATTTATTGAAAGTATACGTATGCTTGCCAATTGCTCTTCGGATTTCTGTGATGGGAATTTTTGCAACCTTAATAGAGAATTTGTTTCAAGTGAAAATAACCTGACTTCAGAAGTACGATACAGTAGGATATAACTGTTCGTTTCATACTACTGAGTATTAAGAAGCTACCGACGTAATCCTTCCTACTTCCAATAGGGTTTGGCCGCCAGAAAAACCAAGTACAGACGGATACGGGAGAGAGCAAAATAGACGGGCGGCAGAGAGGGAAGTGTAATCAATAGGGCAACAAACCTCTGCAAGGCGGGGAAGGTGATATCCAGTCCACGCTCCTTCAACCGAATACGATCCACGCAGACCAGTAGCACTTCGACGAGTTCGGGCAGAATGGGCAGAAGGTCTGCGGGACGACGTTGACAAACGCCCTCAAACAGACAAATCAGCTCCGAGCGTGCTCTCAACAGGGGCAGCTGCGGCTGCATATTCGAAGCAGCAGCTGCTGCAGCACTTCCGCCTAGAAGGTGGGGGAGGGCAGGGAGGGCAGGGAGTTTCGCGATCAGTCCAAGTACACATCCTGGGCATGCTCAATGGAAAGGGGGGGGGCACTGAAGTCATACAACATCATAGGCTCA